CCGGCCGCGCCCGCGGCGGCCCCCCTCAGGTAACGCCCCGGCCCCCGGCGCGGGTCCCGCACCTCCGCCGCCTTCTCCCCCTCCACCGCACCCCGGGAAGGGGCCGGCAGCGCTGCGCCCCGGCTCCCGGCGCGGTGCCGGCCGTGCCGAGGCCCGGGCCAGCGGGGACTCACCCGTCCATTGCACGCGGAGGAGACCCGTCGGGAACGGAGTGGAGGCGCCGGAATAGCAGGAACGAGCCCAACCGCTCCGTGTTATAGACTCACAAAATGGCGGCGCCGCCCGGCCCGCCTCACCCGCGCCAACGCCCCATTGGCTATCGGAGATGTCATCTTGATAGCAGGGGCGGGGGCCGCCCGCCTCCGGGGGTTGGCGCCCTGGCGCACCTCGCGAAGCCCATTGGCTGCGGGCGGCGGGAGGGGCGGTGCGAAGCGGCGGTGCGCGGCGCGATTCGGTAGGCGAAGGGAGACGGCTGGGAGGAGCCATCTTGAGAGCGGGAAGGATGCCGAGATGCCACACGGGTCCGCCATCTTGATTGGGGGCAGGGCATGGGAGAACCGCGCGGGGCGCCATCTTGAGTACGGGCAGGGCCGCCAACGTGCACGTTGCGTTGTCACCCGCCGGGGGCTGCGGGAGCGGCCCCGCCGCCGCCGCCATGTTGGCTACGGGCAGGGAAGCAGCGCGCCCCTCCCGGTACCATCTCGGGTGAGGGAGAGCGGGCGCCTCGCCGAAGTTACCTTAATTATTTGTCACGGGTAGTCTGGAGGCTTTTAATGGCGCTAGACAGCACTTCAAGTTTCATTTAAGGTACAGGATAAAGTTTGTTTAATTGCAGTTAATGTCTTAAGGATAAAGATTACCCAGTGAGTGAGAGAGAGAGAGAGAGAGAGAACTTGTGAGGTAAGACACAACGCCTACCTGCTCTGCCCAGGCATCAGGATAATATTTTTCCTAAGTTCAGTCTTGACACCATTTGCTGACCAAAACAGCTCTTTTTCCAGTCAGGTGACCTCAGTGGTTAATTAGATAAGCTTGTTTCTCTCTTAATGTGTGTCATTGCCTGTAGGTCTTACTTCTGCAGAGATTCGGGTAAAATCCACGGATTTCCTATCTTTGGGGCTGTCAAACCTCTAAAAGATTTCCTTTTCAGGTGCTGGGCCATCTGTAGTAAATTTGGGCCTATGATAACAGACTTACTTGTGTTAAATACCTTCTGCGGCTCCCTTCAAAAGGATTGTCGGGCTTGTTTGTGTGCCACAAGATGAAGGCCCCAAAAAGCTAAGGAGAGGTTTATGTTGCGCTGGGTCCCGCTGCGGACGGAGCCGGCTCTTCCTGAGGGGGACCCGGGGATCGTCCCCCCTGTCCCCCGGGACACGGCTGCTCCCTCGCCGCTAACGTTGTTCTGCAAAGCACTGTGCCTCCAGAACAAAACGCTGTGTGTCTCTGTTTAAATATAGGCAATATTTGCTCACTGGGAATTCTACTGGCAATTACTCATTTTCCTTGCCTCACTTGTCATAGCCCTATCTGTTGACTGCAGCACAAGAATTAATTGTCCCAGACCTCACTACAAGTCCCTTGTGTAGCATTGAATCAAATATCAAATGTCCAGTCCACATTGATCTTGGCTTCATTAGCTGCAACCCTGTTTTCGGAGTTTCTAGGCAACGTAATGCAGGTCTTACTGCAGAAAGGATCCTTCGTACCACACCAGCACACCCACTTCTGACATTTTTGTGGAAACACTGATACAATTCTGCCAATCTGCCTCTATTGTCAGTGGAAAAACGCTGACAGAGATCGGTGCCACTGATGGAAGCACCTGAGTGGTAACACAGCCCTGCCAGGGGGACAGATGTGAAGGTTCACAAAAAGAGTTTTAAAAGGTAGTGCAAATGAAATTCAGAGTCTTATCCTTGGGCAGTGTTTCTGCTTAATGTCAGGTAACTTTGGCAGGTACAGACATGTATTCTGTATTCTCATTTCTTTCTGAAGAGTACACTAGACATGAATACGGAAAGAAAGAAAAAAAAAACAACAGTGAAAGCATCTATTATTTTCTCCCAAACACACGTTACTGTGTTGGTTCCTACGGCCAGATGCTGTATTTTCTCAGAGTGGGGCAACGCTGGGATATTTTGGTGGTCAGGACCAGGCATCAGCTCACTGCCTCGCTCTTGTCCCCATTTGTGAAATGCAGGAGCTTCCATTGGGATTGGGTCTTACCAGGAGCTGGTTGCTCCGATTTCCCTGACTTTGGTTCCTGGGCTCCCCAGCCTTGTTCCAGCAGTGACTGGAAAATGGAGGAAAAGCATGTTCTTGCCTATTGCTGCAGGCGACTAAAGGCCCCATCTGAAACCCAAGTTATTTTCCTAGATGCTGCATATGAAAGGCTTGGCTTTTGCCACAGATAAGAGATTTACAACTTAGATGAGGCAAAGAATGGGAAAATGATGGGATTATGCGATCCACTTCAGAGTTGCTGAGCTGAGAGCCAGGGAGATAAAGTGATTTGATCAAAGCAGAGCAGGAATTTAACTCCCGTCTCACAAGCCACAATGCACTTTCTTGAGCTACGCCTATTTTAAGTGATATTTCCCATGAAGGTGTGTCACTTCATTTTACCTTCAGAATAATCTGCTTTATAGACTGCAAGTAAGAAACTCCTCCAGAGCAGAGGATGGTATGGAGACAGTCATTCCTTTTTTCTTTTTTTTTTTTTTTTAATATGGGATATTTCAGTCCACTTGTAAAGAAGCACACCCTGAAGAAAGGTACCCTGAACATGACGCAAAGGCTTCGAAAAAAATTATCACTGGTAGATAAGTGATCTCGTTTATTGCATGTGCAGATATCCCAGCTGCTTTTGAGATACCTTTGGAAAAGCAAACACAGGTGGATGCCATCAAAGAATTACTACTTTCCAAAGAGTTCTCCTGTGCAATCGTGGTTGAGCTTAAAAGACTTCTAAGTTTCATGCAGGCTCACTCAGATTTTCCACAATTCTAGCAGAAATGCTGATCATGCTACATTTTATCAGAGGTTTTCCTGTAATATTAACAGAATTTTCTAGGCAACATCTTTTCAGATACTGTGGTAGCAAGCTGACTAATGACAGTATTGGGCATTGCACAGTCTTTCTCTGGGCCAAATGGGAAAATGCATTTAAGAACAAAATACTTCATGAAAAAAACCCAACTAAAACATGAAACAATAAAATAACTCCAAACTGAGAACAAACAGCTGGGAGAAAGACCTGCCTCTGTATATCTTTCTGTTTGTTTTGAAAAAGAAACCCACATGAAAATGGCTCATGTGAAAAAAAAAAAAAAAAAAAGGAGGGAGAAGGGAAAAAATATGAATCAGCTTCTTTTGTCCAATGCAGCGGGTCCCACCCTCCTGGCTCCGGTTACTCACTCCCCAGAAAGGCCTTGGCGCGACACACCCAGGTTTTTCTCTTTTTAAGCCCTTCCTGCCTGTGTTATCTCTTTGAATTTAATTTACCATGCAGGGAAGAAAAACCCTCTGAAACAAAAAAAAAACCCCTTTCCTGCCTTTTTCCCTTTGTATTTTTAAAATAGCTCTGAAGCCCGCACTACATAACTGTGTTCTTTGCAAACTAGCAAAGTTTCTTTTCCCCTTTCTCCTTCCTCTTCCACCCAACGTTTCTGTCGGTGACTCGAGAACAAGAAACCTCCTAAAACGTGGTCTCTGTTCAGGAACCCGAGCTCCTGCGTGTAATGCTATATCCCAGGTACTGGGTTTAATGACAGTTGTTTTCCTGCCTGTTCCCCTCCTCCCCCGGTATTCACAGGACCCTGCCAGGTCCTCAACCAGGAAACTCTCTGGGCTCTAACTTTGCTGCCAGTACAGTCCCAGAGAAACTGGGGGGGCAAGGGGGTGTTTCAAATACTTTTGCTGCTTTTCGTTGGTTTTTTTTCTTTTTTATTTTAAAGCCCTTTCAATTAACACGGCTGATTTGTTTAAAAGAGTGTTTGCAGCTTTAGCAACATCTTCAGATGCCAGAACATTCTTTAGTGCATCATTCACGGTGCCACATCACGGCTCTGGAAACGGTTAGTCCGGAGCAGAGAGAAGGAGCAAACTCACTGCGGGTCTGTCACTGGGACAGAAACACTTCAGAGGGGGCTCAGAACCACCCCGAGCTGGGGGTCTCTTCTCTCGGCCCCCCAGGGGAGGGACAGGAGAGGGACCAGCAGCACCATGGGTGGGAGTCAGAAGCCGGACAGGCAGAAGCTGGTGTTACTGGGGGAAAAAGTGTGGGTACGGGGAGGGGAGGGTTGCTGGAAAACTGGCTGTGCTAGTTCCAACACTTGGGAAAAGTTCAGTTCTTAACTGCAGGTTTGTGGTTTTATGAGCAGTATACATTGTTAGCAGGGTACATCGTTAACAGTATACATAATTAGCAAGGGCAGTATTTCTTTCCCTTCGTCCATAATACTTTGGCAGCATAAAGTATTATCAAAAAGCGTACCAGTCAGTAATGGATATTAAAGAGAAGCAAATGCTTCCAGCTCTCAGAGCTGCGTTTTTATGAGGCTGTGCCACCCTGGCAGTGCAAGCCCTCCCTTCCAGGGACAAAGTTGAAAAGCACTTGGAACTTTTAGCGTTGTCATTGCACACTCTGATTTCACCCTTTAACAGGGCTGCCAGACTCTATCTACAGGTATTTTTTGTGCTGCAAGTAGTTATATCATCTTAAAATTTTAACTATAATCACAACATCTGATATTTTATGTTTCTTTCCTTCTTTCTGGTCTGTGACAAGACCTATCTGTGTGCATTACTCTGTTATCAGTCCATGTTATTTCAGAACTTCCCTGTCGCTCTGCTCCTCGCAGATGCTTTTGGGTGACTCATTTCCTGTGAAGGATGAACCAGCCATTTCCTGGCTATTGAAGACAGAACTTTTTTTCTTCCCTTCCAGTCTTCGTTGGAGCACTGTGGATTAGTCTGTGGTTTGATTATACCCCCTGCAACTCACAGCAGAGCTGCAACTCTTCGCTGCAGCCCTCTGCGACAATGAACTGTCAGCCTGTGTTGGGATTGTGGCTTGTCCCTGCTTCCCTGGGCCATAGGCTCTGTGATTTGGGGCTGTGGAATTAAAATAATTCCAGTGATACAGATTTAACAGTGCCGTCCTCCCAGGCACTGCAACCCAATTCTTCTCTTAATTCGACCCATTTCAGCTCATAATAAATGCCATGTTAACTAAGCACCATAGGGCAAAGATACTGATCTTACAACATATATCTAAGCCCAGAAATTCTGAATTATCCTAATAAGTGCTACTGAGATTGCATCTTGGCATTGGGGTTTTGTATTAGAGACAGGTTACTAGAAGACTGGGTCAGTTTCTGGATTGATTCTGTGTGTGAAATTCCAGCTCTTTCCTCCAGCCCGTGTTCCCAGTTTCCTCGGCCGCTATTTATTCAGACCTCACATCAGGGTTCTAACTGCTGTGGACAGTTGGCTTCAGCAACACCACGACTTCAAAGATCATCTGGCCATTGCACTGCCAGCCTGAGGTATCACCACTCTCCCAAGCAGCTTTTAGCAGCTTTTTACTGCCGTTTTTTAAATTATTCCTTTAATCTTGTTTCCCATCAATTCATTTGAATATTTAGATTCATTAGCCTGTCATACGTCTGCAGCGTTGGGGAGGAAAACCTACACAATGGGGATGCTGCCTCTCGAGTTTGAATGTAGCACATGTTGTAGGGATGATCACTGAATAATTCATACCCACAATGATTTATTCATGCCTGAAAGCTGGATACCTCCTCAGCGAGTTTCCATCATCTCCAGGAGGGCACAGGTCCCTGTTCCTGGTCCCGGCCCCGGGAGGGCCAGCAGCAGCCCCCCTGGGCACATGGAGCAGGGGCTGCCTTAGAGCCCCCCTGGCACTGCTCTCAGTTTTGCTCAGCAGCAACGGGGAACTCTCGCCATTCCCACGCTGTATTTGTCACCCTTGGCACACAAACTAAAATGCAGGTACATTTTGGTGCCAATTCTTGGGAAAGGACGGTGGGTGAAGGAGCATGTTGAGCTCTGTTCCACCAGCACACACAAAGGGAGGTGCTGCAGTCACGACGCGGGATGTTCTGAGCACAGAAAACAGCCCAACAGGCCGTGACTCCGCCATTTGGTACCGTGGAGCCGATCTCACTCTCCACCAGAAATTTCAGTTCTGTTTTCCATTGTAAAGTTACAGATTCTGAGACAATTGATATAAACATGGCAAGATTCTTTCCTGCCCTCTCAGGAAACCTTGCAGGAAAGCCTGGACAAATAGCAGCAGCTCAGGCCAATCTCTTTCCTGTCTGGTTTGGGTTATCAAAAAATACCCCTTTGGTCCAAGTTTGTAAGAGCACGACCTGGGTCTCCTGACCGAGGTGAGGGTTTTGCAAGACATTCAAATTCCATCTGTCTGGGAAGTATGAAAGATGAGTCTCCGCTTCAGCAGCACTACCCCTGGCTGCCTGGTATGGAATTTCCTAATTGTTTATCCTGTAATCCTGACTTCTTTTGTCCTTGGAATAGGCTGTACATCAGCATAATTAAAAATGTCAAACATGCTTGAGAAACTCTCCAAGTTGCTAAAAATGAATGTGAATTTCCTCCCCACAGCTTCGCTTCATCTTTCCCTTACTCTGGCCTCAGCTTTGCAGAGTGGTCTGTTTCCAGCCCTTCAGCATAGTTTGCATTCCACTGCCAAGAATGAACATTTATTTATACAAACAACCGTCCCTACAAGCACATCTCCCCCTGCTATCCTGGGGCAGGGAAAGAAACATCAGTTCTGTTCTGTCTGTAGCTGCAGATCTGCATTTCTTTTTTTTTTTTCTTTACTCAAGGGCATTTTTTGCAGTGAAAGATTAGTACCGTCCAGTCGCTTTCCCGTGCTACAAATCTGCTCAGAAATGGGCTGGAATGCTCTTTCATTTCCTTACAATGATTTTATTTTCTAACCCTCTAATGATGGTGCCAGTTTCCCGATAAACCCCTCACGGGGCTGTGCTGGCTCCTCGGGCAGGTTTGTGCAGAGGTCTCCAGGGCTCTGCCGAGCTCTCACAGACAAAGCCCTCGTGCCCCTTTCTCTCCAGAGCACACCAGAAACCTGGTTTTCCCCGGCCCATGACCACGCTGTGTGTGGGTCAGGTTCTTCCAGCAGCGCAGCTGTGGCTGAGAGCGCTCCCTGGTAAGCGAGATGGGGACCCCGAGCACATGCATTATTGCTGAGGCCCCGTCCCTCACCTGCCGGGCCGGGTGGTGTTCACCCAAAACGCTGCCTCCTCACCTGGGCCTCTCCTGGGGCTGTCTCCCCTCCAAGGGGTATCACACAGGTGCCAGATGGCTCCAGCCGGGAATTTCATAGTCTGAGCACAGCTCCTTTCGATGAAAAAAGGGGCCCTGGATACACACAGGCAGAGCATCCAGAAATCCTCCAATAGGTGGGGGTGCCTGCAGCTGCTCTCCCTTCTCCTGTGAGCAGGTCAGGTTCTGCTGAGTACGAGCCAGCCTCCATCGCTCAGCTGATAGACCTGTTTGTAGCTAATAGTAATATTTAGATTGATAATGTTTACAATTACCTCCACTGGCAAATAAGATAAAATAGTTTTGTGGGGAGCTCTCTTACTTGTATTTCTAAAGCAACTTTCTAAGAAACAAAGTATTTAAGTAGTTTCTGAAGGATCCAGGGGAATACATTTACAAAAAATAACAGCAAGATGGTATTATAGAATATATTCCCAATGCTGTCTTTTTAGGGAGAAAACACAGCCAGCCTCTGTGACTATACTGCCCATCCAGAGTCAGTGAACTACTGCAAGAGAATCAGTTAGGAATTTTTAGTGACTGCTTTCCATGAACCGTTACTGAATATTTTATGGATCTTACTGTGTTCTTAGTAATTACTGTTGCAAACTCTGCAAAGATATATTTGCAGTATAAAGTGTTAGTCTTTCTCTTCTTTACTGTGATGCACAAGGAAGGGCTGATACCCTTTAAGACTATCCCCATAATATGCCCAGGTACAGACTCGGGTCTAAATAGGTATTGCTGTATCCAGGAAGAGGAATATAATTATAATTAGACCTTGTGCTGATTAGCTCCTACAGTAGCATCACAACTAATATATAGCGGGAGAGAAAAACCTCCCAGTGGCCAGGCAGCTGGGAACGTCCCACTGCCTCCTCCTCGCTGGCTCCCGGTCGGAGCAGGAGTTGTTCTAATCTCACAGGTGATAATATTGACACCTGGAGCACACCAAAACGTAGGCATACTGGAGTCTTCACATGGCTTCTGAGTACTTTTCATTAAATTACATCAGCAAGTGTACTGGTAGAAATTTCAGCAGCATTTGCAGACGTGTGCTGTTACCCGAAGGTGTGTGCACACACGGGCACACAGAAGTACACACGTGTGTATAGCACTATCCTGGCTGTGTACATCCCCTGTATTTCAGAGTGTGACACTGATTAGTGCAGTGATGCCCCTGGAGAGAAGGGAGAAACAAGTGACCCCAAAATGCCATGAAGTAGCACAAGGACAGAAGGGCAGAGACAGCCCAGCTCTATTTCAGACGTGGCCAAATTGTGCTCCCCCTTCCCAAGTTCCTCTTTTTGGTGTCACGCATGCAGTTTAGAGGCACTTCAGCAGTGCAGCGGAATTAAAGTCCTTGTTTCCACATTGACTGAAGAGCAAATGTGTCCAGCTCCGTCCGAGGAGGCGAGAGGCCGGGGAGAGCGGTCTCTGTGTCCCTGCCATGAGCCCCGCATTGTCGTACGGCTCATAAAGACATCATTTTCCCAGGGCTTCAGCTCTATTAAACACAAAGCTCCAAATGATTTCCTACTTGGATCAAAGATGTGTTTGTTCCAGTGCCACTTAAGTTTAAAAGGCAATACTGGGAATGAATGAAATCTCCCCAGCGGCAGCTGCTGAGGTTCAATTGGTTTGTCAGTGCCATAATTACGCAGCGGCCGTCGTCTCTCCGCTGGCCCATATGCTCCTGGAGGATGCTGTGCAATGGAACAGCGTGGGGACGCCTCGCTCCCCAAGCCAAGGGGCTTTTGCTTTTGTCGTATGAAGACTTGCTTATCTTTCAGATGGTGAAAGCGTTAAGAAATCTAACATTCTGATTTCAGTCTTGACAGCGACAGGGCTTGCTGTGGCCCTTGGTGCTCAGAACAGACATGGGTCCCTATTCTCCAGGCTGTTCACCTCTCCCCACAGCACTTCTCAGCCCCTCAGGCTGGGCTCTGGGTGGGAGATGCTGCTCATTAAATAGCCATCTCCTTGTCTGGGAGACTGTACACCACATGTTCTGTGTAACAGACAGGAGTGTGTAGTAGGAACTCCAGAGTATTAAATTAAGCATTAAAAGAACATTAAGACATGAACCTGCAAAATGTGAAGTCAGGGAGAATTGAGAGCACTCGAGATCTCAGTTGCCAAAGGAACAAAAGAAATACAATATCCTTTAGACGGTTTAATATTTAATTTGGTGAGATGCTCAGATAGGAGGGCAGTGGATGCAGAGGGTGATGACAGAGCACACCGAGCTCTGCATCAGCCGCGGGTCTCCCTGGAGCCCCAAAACATTGGCATAAACAGCACCTCATTCACAGAACTGTGAATCCTGTGCACAGCTACCTGGTCTGCTACCCTGGGCATCTCCTAAACACCATTTAATTCACATGGCTTCTGTCTACAAACACAGCATCGACATTCACAAAAGAGACTCCTAGTGACTGGGCTGGTTAGACAGGAGGGAACCAGTGGCACATCTCAAATGTTGGAGATTCCCTGCTGTCCATGTGCTGCAGGCACCCAGAGCCAACAGGATGATCTTCATGAACTACACCACTTTTCCTGCCGAGCTAAGTTGAATTCAGAGGGGCACCTTCAGCTACATTTTCTTGCTTATGGTGAGGGCTGGGAAGTGTGTAATCACTGCTGCAGGACAAGGGCTGGCAACCTCTCACAGATGCTACGCCAGAGTCTATTTTTCTTTTCCAAATTAGCAGCTAGGTGTGCCAACGCTGGGCTTTGCTGCCTCTCCAAGAGGCAAGATGCCATCCATCTGTGGTATTTTTCATCTGCGAGGTGCTCAGCTCCTGCTGAATGCAGCGCTCAAGAAGTGGGAGGCAGAAACTAGGAGCTAGTGCCTCTCACTGGTGCGTGTCCAAATGCTGCCAACCCCAGTTCTTGCCCCAAGAGAGTCATTCAGAAACTGGAGAAACTGGTGCGGGCTCTGCTCAGGGCAGAGCCTTTTGCTTGTTGCTTCCAGCCCACGCAAGGGATCTTCAAGTTGCTTTATGGTCACTTTTCTAACTCGTACCTTCTCTCTCCTCTCTCCCAGGCCTCCCTGTCCTCTAGGTGCTGGTGAGATTCCCGTCCTTCCACAAACCTGTCTGCTCCACAGGGCCTTCCCGAAGTGTCGGGCCTGACCTTGGAGGAGGTAAGGGAGAGAGCAGTGCTTCAAAACAAGGACAATCATAGAAAATTAAATATAAGCAAAGGCTCCAAAGGAGGGAAGCTTTCAGGGCTCCCACATTTCCTACCAGCATGGCTGGGTATCGTGAACTAATGAATTTGCCTGCAGCCAAAAAGCTTGGTAAGATGTGTTCTGTGAAGGACAAGCACCTTTCCTTTACATGGGCCCCTCACCCTGGGTTTCCCTGTCCTCTCCCCGTGCCCCCTGTGGGCATCGGCATCCCCCTGAGACGCCAGCAGAGACTGGAAAAAGTAATCACAGAGAACTTCCCCTGCTCTGAAAGGTCCTTGTTTATCAACAAAGTTATTTCTTCTACCTCCAGGAGCCATTTACTGTCCCATCCTCAAGAAACTTCCACAAACACTCGAGATATAAAAACGAGCCCTAGCCCTTTGCCTGGTGCTTCTGCACCCCCAGCCCAAGTCACCCCCGCTTTAAAGCGCTGCTGAGAAGGTGAAATCCTCCAGCCTGGGGAATGGGCTGAGGTGTCCGTTGTTGAAATTGTTCTGTATTGTAGAAAAGTAGGTTACTGTGTCTCATGGTGAACAATTACATCTAATTACAAGTCACAGATTCGCCACAAATACTATTCAGTAACAAATCTCCACCACGCTTCATCCCGAGCATGTTTTAGGGAGTGAGAGGTTCCCTCTGGTTTGCGGGCAGGCCACGCGTGGTGCCGAGCAGGAGGAAGGAGCATTTGGGCTCAGGTCAAAGGGAGAGGAGGGGACACTGGGCCCCGACTCACCAGTGGGTGGGATGTTGGGTGATGTGTCCCCCAGCTCACAGCACCAGCAGCTTTGCTGCAGTTTAGCAGGTGGTAGAAAGAAAAACATGGTCTGTGCCACACTGTGATTTGGCTGCTCAGAGATATATAGAACTGCAGTAAACACTTAGACAATGGAATTCAACAAATAAGATTTGCAGCTTCCCCTCAACAAGCTCCCAAAGGGGATGTTAAGTTTTGCTGTTAGATATAAAAACAATTCCATCAGCAGCCCAGAAATCGAAAGCAGCAGATCCAGAGAGACCCTTCTCCAAGGACGGCACACGGGGAAGTCTCTGTACTTGGCTGTGGCAGTGCTGCCGGTCAGCATTTTCACACTGTGTTTTTAGCAGTAAGATAGCACGTTTCCTATAAAGTGGGTGCGTTGGGAGGTCAGTCAATCTGCGGTGAGAGCTTCCCATTAAACCCTGGCTGTTCCCTGTCCCTGGCGCTGCGGGGGCAAAGGTCCTTTGGCAGGAACAAGGAAGTGCAGGGGGACGGTGCCTTCACCCCGGGTCTAAGTGTAAGGGGACCTTGACCCCGGCGTTAATAGCGCTATTTATTCAGCAGGGGTCGGGCAGGGCCCCGCCGAGGGAGGCGGCCCGGGGGGGCGAGCGATCGCCGCTTCGGGCCAGCCCGGGCCGGGCGCGGCGGGGACCGAGCACCCTCTGCCGGGAACGAGCGGCGGCGGCGGCCGCTCCCGGGGACGGGAACAAAAGAATCCACCTCCTGCTCCCTTCCCGGCTTGTTTTTGAGCCCGTCGCAGCCAAACTCCGCGGAACTGCCAGGATTATGAGTGGTTTTGCAGTAGGAGATGATGCTTTCCCCTGACCGGCGAGGCTTGTGCCGTGTGAGAAATACCACAACCAGGGAGAGGAGCAATTAAAAGAGTAGCAAACGCTCCAAGTGCCTTCTTGCCAGCAGACATCTTCTTCCACTAATTAAGTGAAAGAAGATCATTTTAATACAAATGGCTGCTGGGGAACAGAGTGAGTTCCCAAGCGGGTTCTCTGATACAATTACACACTCAGCCGTAGCACAGGACTGAAAAGTCAAAATCCCAGGAAAAGTAAAGCAGCCCATGGAATTGTTGGGGTAAATAATGGCCGGCTCTCCCCGGCGGCACTGACCCGAGCGTGGAGCTGCTCACAAAGGGCAGTGGTAACAGCGTAAATAACACTATTATTATCCACGTTGTAGCATTTTCTGCCCAAGTAACAGAATTGCCCTTCACTAATTTCAGCTTTCCCATTTCTTCCTGGGGAAATAAAATATTAGGACCTATTTATAGAAGTTCATGGTTTTAAATTAATTTTTTCCTTTGCTCCAGCTGTTTTCGGCGGTTGATTGCTGTTTGTTGGACCAGGCAGCCCTCTGCCAGCTGGCTGAGGCTTTTATTAGCTCTTTGGAGAAGACTTGATTTAGAGCTGGCAGTTACGGTACACGCACAGCAGCTCTGCAGTGCAGACCCTCAAGAGGAGAGATGATTAGGGCTCATGAAAAAAATTGCGTCCCATTCTTTGAACAAAACCGCCCTTGTTTAAGGAATGTGGTGCTGCAGGCAAATATTTAAGAGCAGTCTCTTCTCTGGCCGGGAGCTGGTGTGTGTGGTGAGACCCTGCCCTCCCTCAGATACACGGGGGGTGTGTGTTTTCTCAGAGCACCTCTGGAGGTAGAGCAATGGGGATGTCACCCCATGGCCAGCACAGGATGTACCGTGGGATTTGTATTTCTGCAGGGGGGCAGGGGGTGTGGGTGGAAGGACGTGGGGAAAGCAGGAAAGGAGCTGAAGAGGTGCTGAGAGGGCTCTTGTACAGGGGAGGGGGAGGAGAGAAACAAACAACCCAGAGAACAGGAAAAACGATGTGCTGGGAAATGATTAATCCACCCCAAAGGCCCTTGCTAAGAAGTGGTGGGACAAGCTCAACGATTTTTGGCAGCCGTGAGCTACTCCTGCTCTGCTCTCGGCTCCCGCCTTGCCACCAGATGTGTTTGAGCCCAGCTTCACCCTGCTCCTGCCCAGACACACGTCCCAGCACTGTCCCTCGCTCCTGGCGGCTCCCTGCAACACACCTCTCTATGTGTGTATTTTATGGCTGTCCCGGCCCCTCCGCCCCCAGTAAGTGTTTCTCCAGTGAGTGGGGCACACAGGCCCTGCCGGGGAAGGGGGGGAGTCGAGTCTAAGCACTGCTGGTCTGTATCCTGTTGTTTTCCTACTGGGATTGTTCTAGTTTCCTGCACTGTCTTATCTGGAGCCGAGAAGCCCAAGCTCTCCTATTTACTTGCTCTGTGCATGCCTCAGATCTCTAATCTGTGAAATAGACATTATAAGATTTAAGAGAAACATAGCTGGGACTATTAAAGGGTGGAGGGACAGGAACAGAGTGGTTAAAGGGCTTTCAGTGCCTATATAATTAGTTCTTTATTTAGTTATCCTGCTTGTACAAGCCTGTGTATGTCATAGAAGGTCTCCAGGCACCTTCTGCACGCCCTGACCCTGCACAGAGTCCACTGAAATGTAAAGAGAGTAGGATTCTGATGTTTACATTCTGGGGTGATTCCAGGTACCCGTGTTTGACAGACCTTACAAGAAAACCATTTTCAGAAAGTGCTGAGTCTGTTTTTTCCACCCCAAGGGCTCACACTAGACACAGGGAAGTCTTAGAGCAGAACAAGCATTTCAGTGCCTTTACTCAGCCTAGAATTTGAAGAGCTCCACTGAAATGCTGTGGACTTCTTTGAAATTACTTGGCCACGTTTTTTTGAATACAGAAGTAAAACAAGCAGGTACAGCACTGAGGTCCTGAAAGCTTACTGTGGAGACCAGACATGCGAGAAAGCAAAACCTTGTAGTTTTTTTAAAAAAACCTTTTTTTTTTCCTATAGAGAACATGAATTCACTCAACTATAGGTTCTATTAGTGCACTGAATTCCCTATGGGTTAAAAAAAAAAGGAAAACATTTACCGTACAGCTTTGGAATGTCCTGTTTTTCTGCACAAAGGTGTGGGTCCTTCACATGCAGTGGCCATTATCAGATGGGAGCCTCTCCTGGAAAGATAATTAAACGCTGCATCACTCTCTGCCCCGCAGACACTCACCCAGGCACAAGGATTCAACCCAAAACTCAGCCCCCAAACTCCAGCCCCAGAACCCTCCCCCCTAGGGATCCCAGGTTTGTTGGAAGCAGGTAAAAATTGTGGCAGTGATCAAGATGGATTTTTATTAATTGAAGAGAAGAGCAGTGTATAAGTTCGGCCTTTGTGGGTAAATACGTATTTAATCTTTTTCCGCTCAGTTGTAACTGTAAATTCTGACTCATTCCACTTGACAGCTCCTCGGGAGGTGTTCTCCACGGCTGTACATACGGGAGCAGAGTGGGCTGAAGAAGTATCCTTAATTGATTACCAGAGCCTTTATTTGGAACTAAATATCAAAAGAAAAAAGGCTTTTTTTTTTTTTTCAAAGAGATCAGGAAAAGGAAGACATGTGCTTGGAGATAAGGAAAGATAAAAGCATTCCATTTAAAGACGCCCGTGATAGAAATCAAGATGTTCATCTGCCAAGTCAGTAATTTCATGACCTTATGACCAGGCAGGGCTTCCGTTCCTGTTACCTTTTCCCACATTGGCTCCGAGCGCCAAATCGTTGGCGTGAAAGTTCCCTTTAGTTTGTCCGAGCAGCAGCTCAGCCATTTGGGGAGGAATTACACGGGTTCAACTTGAAGATAAAAAACGGTTCTATAAGTTTATGTCCAGCTTTCCGAGGCGCGAGATGGGGCCGCGAGTCCCTGTCTCTGGGGGGCCTGAGGCAGGTTCAGGAGCCCCCTCGGGAGAGGAGCGGCTGAAATGGAGTGACTCCCAACCCTGTTCTCTCTGAGATCCCGGGGCCAGCAGACCCTACACCCCGCCTGGATCAGCAGAGGTCAAGAGCTCAAAATGCATTCGCTGCTCTAAAACAGGGTCTGGTTTTTGTTTAAAGCAAGCAGCAGATTTCAGTTAGGAAATTCTTTGAAAACCCAAGCTCTGCGTGTTTCACGAGCGAGCACATGCACACAGCAAAGCGTTCTGGGCTAAAATTATCTGAACTATCATTAGAAAGCCCTGAGCAGGAACACATGGATTGATAGTAGCGTGAGCGCGGCACGGCAGAGCTCGCTGCCCCGGTGAGCACAGGCAGAGCTGGGGCACGGAGGGCACCCCGCACAGCCTCTGCCCTGTCTCCTGGCACACAGCGGGCTTCTGTGGTGGCTTCCCCCAGTTTAACTGGCACGGCCATGAAATCAATCCCTGCAGACACACACTGTGCTCACGGGTCCCAGAGCAGCCCCGTGTCTGTCAGACAGGACGCTGAGGGAGCAGGAGGATGCGGAGCAGCAGGGACAGGGGCTCGGGCGCCCTGGGCTGCCCGTGGGTGTGAGCCCATCTCCAACCCCAACAGGGGCCTGCTCCCACCAGGAAACCGCCTCACACCGAGGCCAGGGTTGCTCAAAGAACCAGGTTAGACAAGATTCCTGCGCCCAGTGTTTTCAGCCTGGCATCTTTTAGCACCACTAAGTGCAAAGCTTTTAATTAAATCCCAGAGCGAGGTGCCTGGAGCAGAGGCTGCTGGTGTGACCTGCAGGTGTGGGCAGTGTCAGACCTGCAGCGCCTGCTCCCGCAGGATGTGTGGTGGCAGGGTCTGTGAGTGATGGGCTCCCGCCCAGCACACAGGAATGATGGGTGTGGGCAGTGTCAGCCCCGCAGCGCCCGGCGCCCTGCTCCCGCAGGACGTGTGGTGGCAGGGTCTGGGAGCGATGGGCTCCCGCCCAGCACACAGGAATGATGGGGACTTTCTAGACTACTCCACAGAGCTTTTCAAACCAGGTGGGAGAATTTCAGATTTAGTCTCTAGTAAATACAAGTTACGGATGCAAAGAATGCTTTAGTTGGGAAACTTCCTCTTCTTTTTACTATTTAAACCGTCAGATGACGTCAGAACCTGAACTAGCTTCGCTATTTTTGGTACTTCTGTCTCTGCAGTTCACTCTGGAGAAGTAAAAATTGTGGACCACGGCTTGTGTTCAGAGTGCCACTGCTGAAAGGAACATCTCAGAGTCTGGTTTCTAAAATTCTACTTGCAGTATTTATATTTCATTTTAACGTTGGCTGGCACACTGCGGAGGCTAATCCTGCAAGCACTTACACAAGTCAAGCTTTCTCTTTATAGTTCATTCCAGCTCAATGGGCCCTCACCTTAACGAGGGCACACGTTCTGCAGTAGCATTTAGCTTGGACTGAGCAATGAAAAAGTCAGATGCATCTGCTAGCCAGATTTTTTAAAAAATATATATATACACACAAACATATAGACACAGACACCTATGATGGTTATTTTAGGTTCTGAGAGAGAAAGAATATTCAGAGTCGCTTAGTGATCTCCACCAGAGAGGAGGCTCAGTGTGACAGAACAGCAGCATGGTGAGTAGTCTTTCGTAGCATAAGCGATACCATGGACAATTGTCTCTAACAGAATCAATTATGGCACTAAAATTGTAGATTTTTTAAGAACAAGTTTTAGATATATGGATGCAAGGTCCATTCTTTAGTTTCTGAAAAGCATCCCACAAAGAGCTTCACGTACCCGATTCCCCTTTGGTGCGAGTGGTGCTCCGTTGGCAGCTGAAGGCAGGGTGAGCCCTGGTGGCCGTGGGGAGGTGGGAGATGGAGGAGCTGATTCCTGTCACTTTCCCGGGTTGTTTTCCATAAGCAAGCACAGAATTGGCCACAGACGTGGGCTCACTGAGGTCATGGGGCTCGGCTTTGCAAAGGGAGCCCCACACTCAGCAGGGCTGCCCTCCCTCAGGAGCTGCAGCTGCTGCTCGGGTGGTTCCCTCAGCCTGGGCCACTCCAGGGATTTGGAGCTCGCATCCCAGCAGCTGCCCTGGCTCGGCCCAGGTGTGACAAATCCTTAAGCTGAGCTACTTGGTCAGGACTCAGCCCATGGCTATGCATAAATTATATCTGCCATAAATTCATCGTTCCAGGACCATGCCCAGTGGTCAGGACTCAGAGCCCATGGCTATGCATAAATCATATCTACCATAAATTCATCGTTCCAGGACCATGCCCAAACTACCCTCCAGGTCTTCAAAGGGAACAAATTTATTTATTTATTTTAAAGAAGGAATGAGTTGTAGATTGATGATTCCTCTAATGATTCTTTTTAAAAACCATTGCTGTATTGAGATGGGGCCAGAAAGAGTCCCCAGGACCATTATGGCCACCGTCTCCCACTTAAGTTGTCCCCAATACGTTTTCACAGAGCGAGGGTGCCGGTGGCAGAGGCTGCAGCGAGGCCGGTTCCCTGCACACGGATCTTTCCAGCCTGGTGACCTGGGCACACACCCACGGGACGATATGCAGTCACATCCCAGCCTTGGAAATCCTGCAGAACACGGGCCACCCCAGCAAGGACAACTCCATCCTGTGGATATGCGGGGTTGGACATGCCTATCACTGGCAGTGTGGGAAGCTGTACTTCAGAAGCAGAGAAGAGATTAAAGGTTTGGAAAAGAATAAGAGGTTCATGTCTTCTGAGGGCTCATCAAGAGAAACTGGTTCAGATGGAAAGAGGTTCAGGATGACCCCGTCTTTTGAGAGGACCAAAGCAGATGCTGTTACCACAGGGTCATCTTGGAGATCTCCAGGGGTCCCTCAGCAGAAAGACAACACGATCTACAGAACACTTACTGAGGCATCACCCAGAGAAAAAGGAGAAGACAGCAAATCCATGAGATCATGCTTTGCAGCAGAGCAGCATTTCTCAGTGTCTGGTGGTGAAAGCAAACCTGACAGACCAAAGGTGAAGCTGGAAAGCAGCGAAGATCCACAGATCATCTCTGATGAAGAGCAGAGCATTTCAGATGAAGACAACCATGGAGATGGGAGTGTTCTGTCAGAAACACCAGTTAAAGGTGTAGCTGCTGACGCCGATTTGCACGTGCACTGCAGTCAAAAGATGGCATTTAACAAGCCGACAGCCATCCAAACATCTGGCTTTGCCCCCCCAGGGAAGCCCCCTCCTACTCTTGCCTGCATTTTGAAATCCACCCTCAGCAGCCAAGAGAGCCTGGAGAGCGGCTTCTTGCAGGTGGGTCCTCTAAATCCTGCCGGGCCCATCACCGAAACTTCCAGAGCAAGAAAGTCCTCTGGCTCAGCAGCACCAAAGGAACATTTAAAATCTGCTCTTGTCACCAACAGTGAAGCAAAGGTCCAACATGAGTCACCCACCTCTGTGACATTCTTTGAGTTAGAAGCCACCATAGGTGTCCAGCAGCAGCTCCAGCTGAGCCCTCCTGAGCACGGCACGGCAGGAACCAGCTTCAGTGGGAACATCACCAAAGCCCCTGTCGAGGGGGGCGAACCCTCAGGGTCCAGGCACACGCCTCCCCTTCCAGCCTTCCTGAGCCCCGAGAGCAGCAGCACAGAGCACCCATCCCAGCCTTCACATGAAAGTAAGAGAGTCTGGGGTTCTCTTCCTGGGGGTGTGTGTGGGTGCGTTCATTAATCGCTTCCCAAAATACTAAGGGAGGGTGAGTTCCTGTAGCTGCCAAAATCTGAGGAAACACCTCTGACTTGGGGCAGTCTTGTCTCTACCAGCAGGGACCAACAGGGTTCCTGTTACAATACACTGAGCCTTAGTGCCAGGTACGTGTGTATCATGTATATATTACCTAATGCAATGATTAAACACCTCCAATAAAAAGCGAATGTCCAGGTTTTAAAGATGTTATAGTAAAACCTCCAAATTCACATCTCTAATGATTTGAGTGCCTGCAGGTCTCCTTTTTCACGTGGATACCCAGTGAACTGCTGTCTGGTCAGCTCTGTGGGTTTCCCCACTGGTGTCTACGTGTAAACGTTGAGGCAGATTTTTAACACTTAATTCAGAGAGTAGGAGTAAGTTTTCCATCCAGGGGCTTAACGCCTCGGCTCCCTCTGAGGAGCAGCCCCCACCAGCATGTCCCACTTCCACGTGCTCAGGCTGGAAATCCCATGCCATATTCCCTGGAGCCCCTTCTCTCCCCACAGTCAGCCCCACGGCCCTGTCCCTGGCAGCCGGACCCCAGGGATGCAGGGAATTCCAGTGGCTCTGGATGCAGGCAGGGCTGTAACCGCGCTGTCCCCGTCCCCTGTCCCCAGCCAGCTCTGCCTGTTGCTCTGCTGAACTGAGGGCCCATCTCAATTAGCCATAGTGTTAAAGAGCAACAGCTGAAAGCCCCGTTGCTGTTCCTGAATAACTCAGTGTGGCAACCACTCGTGTTCCTGAGGTGGCCAGGCTGTAGGAACGGGCACAGCCCGTCTGTGAACATGGGACTGGTTTTGTGATTGACAGTGTCTGTCACCTGGAGGGGCTGGGAATGGCTCTGTAGGAGCTGCTCCTGCCAAGATCAATGGCTCATGGCTGGAGCGAGGCCTCGGCACGTGTTGGTTTATGAGCCAGTGGCCTCCTCGTGCAGATCAGTCACGAACAAAAGAAGCAAAACCCTAAAGAGCGGCACAGGGAGCTGCAGACTCCACCTGGGTCCAGCCACAGCCACGACAGCTACTGGTGTACAACGTAACTGGGGGCAAGAAGGGGGGTCTCTGGGTGTTGGCTCCAGAGTCCTCCTCAGCCCTGGGAGAGTCTCAGGCAGCAGATGGAGCTTTTCAGCAATCCAGAGAATTCATTTCTCATGCTGCATGGAACTAGGTAGATGTGGTATTGCCATAGCAACTCGAGAGAGAGAGCCCAACTGCAATCCTGGCAATCCTTTTTTTAAGAGAAAAAACCAAAACAAAACCACTTCTACTCATCTTTTTGTTCTTCCTTACTATCCACCCCTAACTTTGGGTTAATGTTATTTCCCACTGAGAGTTCTCTTGCTCTGAAGAGAACTGGCCGGGGTGAAGCTCAGCGTCCAGCTGACCCCCCCCCCCCCCCCGGCCCC